TTGTATTCTTCCAGCATATTTATCAATCTGTATGCTGAGCAAATGATTGTATAAACTGGATTATATGAAGAAAAACGTGGCATCAGGATTGGAGGAATAGTCGTTGACAACCTGCGATATGGAGATGACACAATCTTGCTTGCTGAAAAGTGAAAAGGACTTAAAATACTTATTGATGAAGATCAAAGACTACAGTCTTCAGTATGGATTGCATCTCAATGTAAAGAAAGCCAAACCCCTCACCACTGGGTCAATAAATAACACTAGATAAATGGAGAAAAGATTATAGTTGTTAAAGACTTCATTTTGCTTAGATCAACCATCAACAGTCATGGAACCAATACTTAAAAAATCAAACAACATATTGCATTAAGCAAATCTTTTGCATAAGACCTCTTTAAAGTGTTCAAGAGCAAAGATGGCAGTTTGAGGACTGAGGTGTGGCTGACCAAGCCATAGTATCTTTAATAACCTCATATGCATGTGAAAGTTGGACAATGAATAAGGAAGACCATAGGAGAATCTGTTGGAGAATACTGAAAGTACCACGGACTGCCAGAAGTACTAACAAAATCTATGTTGGAATAAGTATAGCCAAAATGTTCCTTGGAAGCCAGGATGGTGAGACTTCATGTCTCATACTCTCATATTTATCAGGAGAGATCAATCCCTGAAGGACATGATACTAGGTTGAGTGGAGGATCAGTGAAAAAGAACAGAACCCCCAAAGTGATGGACCAACCCCCAAAGTGATGGACCGACACAGTAGCAACAATAGTGAGATTAATACAGGACCGGGCAGTGTTTCATTCTGTTGTGCGTAAGGTCACTGTAAGTCACTACCGACTCGATGGCACCTAACAACAACAACAACACAGTATCTCTTTTCCTTTTGTTCTCATCAATGAACTTTTCCTCTCCAAAGAATTACAGAGTTATATCAACTCAATCACCATAAAGCCAACTAGTAACAGGCAGTATAAAACTTCCCAGGTTTATCTAATCAAAAGAATTTGAAAATACAACAGACACAATGATCATGCCTTACTACCTTCTGGCTCTTCCTCTCAAAGACTGCTACAATGCATATTTCTACCTGAACAGATTATTTGGTCAGAGTCATTGTACTCTCCTCCTAAAAGTCTCCATCCTACTAAGGTAGAAGTACTAGCCCACTCAATTAGCTGGACTCAACATTTATTTCGTTTTAAAAACTCTCTTTATATCATTGTTTTTAAAAATGCACAATTACATATCCTTTTGTCTTTGTCATCCTTTTATTCATCTCAACTGTGGGAAGTCACTTAAAAGAAAAACAGTTTTTTCAGTTCCTTCAGCCTATTCATTCCATGTGAAGTCTCAAAAAAAATATTTCTTGATATTGAGGGTATTATGAGAACACCTAAATTCACATAAATAATTCCAAACTAGGTCTCCTGCAATGAAAACCAGAGTCTCTGGAGAGAGAAACAAATTTCTTATCCTTATGAGGCGAATTAATTTGTCCAGAGTAATACATGTATATAGGAAGTAATTTACTAAATGGAACTTGAACCCTAAAATAATTACAGGAATGAATGATTTAATCTGAGTTTACTCATCACAAAATAAGAGGCACTGATCCTCCTAACCTGCCTCAGGCATATAACGGCAAGGAGAGAATTAAGTCTAAAGATCCATGTTTCTGATGTCTAATTTTAAGTTTTGTTAGCTGACCCTTGGTGAGTTTTATAAAAAGAGTAAAAATAATTTTAATTCCAAATAATTTACTGCATCATTTATTATATACGATACAAACTAAAGCCATTACAAACATAACTTGCTTAGCAGTGTATGGTACTATTTAGCAATGGTAAAAGGAAGGGGAAAGGAAGTCTTAAAATCACCTGTACTCTATAGGAGTTGTGAGGCTAAGAAAGACAACTGTATAAAACAAAGGAACTCAATTGAATAAACAAATCCATGAATGGGCAGTAAATTCTTAAAATAATAAACTGAAGCTCTGGGTCAAAAATCTACTAATATTTCTTGCACCTAGAATATACAAATATGTTTTCTGAAGGAATGAATACATACTACTAACAACAAGAAGAGGATGAGGGGTAAAAACCCATTTAAAACTGGGAGTGGGTCGGGGGGATAGAAACAAGGTGATTAGTGTGGGCAACTATTTGAAAAGATGATAGTGGAAAAGTGAAGCTAGGGCTTTCTGAACATTAGAATGATGTCATTAAGCCTTAAAGCACAAACAGGCAGGCATGCAAAGGGATATCCAAGACTTTAGGAATCTATATTAGAAAAGGAAAGTGGAATTATAATAGATGTGATTTTAATGAGTAATGATATGCATGAGCAGTACTCGAAGTTGCAAATCACAAATCTGCAGTCAGAATAGGATTTTAATAACTGATTAAAAGTTTTAAGTTCTCATTATTCCAATTTAACCTATTTCCTTGCTAGTCTGAATATTAAAAATTCCTTTAAAATCCAGCTAAAGAATAATGTGTGAGGACAAAGTTTTTAGGCAACAAAAATAAACTATATCAAACTTTTTTCCCAGACTTGCTTAAAAAGCAACTCATCATCATTGGTCTCTAGGTTTAAACCGTACTTTTTTTTCTTTAAAGTATTATAAATAAGTCTTCTTCACAGTAATGAGCATAAATAGACCATACTTATTCATAGATTATTCATTAATAATCAAGTTATGAATATTTATTGTTTATTCTGGGAACGCTGCCTACAAGCCATAATGACTATCAATTCAGCAGTCAAGTCAAGGGGGCCAACAGCAATCAGAAGGCAAAACTTTAATACTCCCCTCCCCAATAAAGATTCTCTCTTGTTATTTAAACGTTTTCTTTTCTTGATGGGAACAGTGACTGTGCTTAAAGGAATGCTATCAAGAGTTACGGCTTTCCTGGCTGAAATGCTACAGTAAAATATGGAGAACATAAATTTATGTACGCACTTCTGTGATTATTCAAACAGCCCCACGGCAACCAACCTGGGTGAATTGATAATGGAAGAGAAATTCCTGGTGAGAAAGTAGATTGAAGCTCTAACCTTGCAAAGGATCTTAATCCGTTATCAGTCTAAGATTTAAAACATAGCAAAATTTTCTACTGACAACTGATGCCACTTCTCATACACCAAAACGAGCTGCATAGAGTTTTCAAAAATTGAGTGAAGAGTACTTTACATTTTATACATTATATCACACTATGTATAGCATTTTCCCAAAGAAGCTGGACTTCAGCCATTCACTACCAGTGTTTTCTTTACTGTCTATACTCATCAGTTTATATGACTATATAAAGGATATGTTTATGTTTTTATCTTTATTCCTGCTACAGTCTGAATGCAAGAACTATATAAGAGAAGTATACCACTTACACCTCATTACATAGTCAACAATACCCAATACAATATCTTGCACACAAAGGGTGAAAACAAACTCTATAGATTCATAGTAGTGAGAAGCACTGTGTGAAATGCTATAAGAGTCATTTAAAAACCCAAAGTCCTCATAATCTAAAACAATGCTTAAGGACACCAATTGTTCTATCTGTTCTCATATTCAGTTAGTCTTGATTTATGTTCAGTGCTATATGCTCTAAATACCCAATTAATAGTTACAGTTCTTCCTGATCCTATTAGCAAAGAATATGCAGATGAAGTGTGCATCTGTGGACAGGAGGCAATAGAAAGGACTAAGTTGTGTTCCACTGGATGTCAAATGTCCAGCAAGTTTTAAAACGTGGATTCTATAGAAATGCACTGAGATCACAATGCTTAAAAGAAATGTCTTATTTTTCCACTACAGATATATGTTCAACTAATTTACATAAACAGAAACAATTTGGTGTATAGAGCATGTTATAAAATTGCTCATCCTTTTGGCTCACAATACCATACATAATGTTTTATCTGAGTTCTATCTGGCAGGAAAAAAAAAAAAAATCCAGTACAATCAGTTTCAAAATGCACCACAAGCCATTACTGCTTGTGTTTGTTTTACTCTGATGCATAAACATTTTGAGCACAGTGTTATGATTTCAAACGTTTTACTTCATCTGAATCTAGTGGGATCAATTATTTCTGGAAATGCATTTTTATTTTTAAATCTGAGTCAAGGGGGAGCACTGTCCAAGAATGCAGCCAACTGGAGATTTGTTTAGGGATACTTGTAGTTCATTTTTAGATTTTAAAAACAGGGTAAATTATTATTCACTAATCAAATGTAACAGGTAACTTTCCTCCAGAGGCTGTATTTTCATTATTTAACCTAACGAATATGATGGGATTATACTATAACATACAATGAGAACACGCATCATGACGGTTAAGAGAAAAACACCTGTTCATATATTAAGAAAAACGACTTTGGCATTACTAAGTGAATACGATTTGTGCAAACGTTTAAGTGTTTAACAGGTGACATTTAATAGTAAAAAAACGAAATGCTTAAATAGAAAGGAGCGGAAACACCTGGGCAGGTCTGCAAGTGTGGTCGCCTATTTAGTATGCAATTGCATTTTCAACGTAATTAGTTTAATTGAGCTTCTAAATTTGGGTGATGTACTGCACATGTAATTAAGATTTAATTAAAAATGTTCTATAATAAATTGTTTTCCATTTCTGACAAATCACATTAGAGAGGTAGATTTTGATTTGGAAATACTTTTTTTAATGTGTTAATCATCTGTACTGAAAATATGAGAAAGAATAAAACAGGAATTTTGGTAAGATACACGGGATTTTAAACCATGAGGTAAAGGGCATCATTGCCCTTCATAGTACTATGAAGTTTAGCTGAAGTGGATGGTAAAAATCATTCATATTTGTAAGCAGCAGTACTCTGAATAAGATGATACACAAAATGCATTTTCTTTTTTATACCTGTGAAGTATACAGAATAAAATTTCAAACTTTTATTGTGGAAATATAGTTAAGTACACACCCTGATGGTAACAGTCTCATTAAGGCTTTACACTAACCTGCTAAATCCTAACACAGAGATGAAGCCTCGATTGCCGGTCCAAGATAAATTAAGCCACTGAACAAGAGCGCATCGAGTCTGTAGAAATTCCAAAGATGTGTCATTTAGTTTTGCCCAGTATGGTTGCAAATTGAGGTGGATGTATTGTAGAGGATCACAACAATGCTGGTTCATTAGTTTGCAAGTCTGGGCTAATCTGCACAGGTCTGGTAGTGTAAGATGATTCAGAATCAGTTGAATGAGCTACGTAAAACAGAGAAACCAAGGTTATCAAGACTGAAAAACAAGCATCACTTCATTAAGCATATAAGTGATCTAATAAAGAATAGTATATTTATAACAACATTTTCACATGGAAAGTAAATCAACGTTCAACAGAACCATCCAAATGCAAAGCCACACATATACATAGAAATATATCTGTATGCATTTCAAAATTGTTCAGTGTATTCAGATCATGTTGATTACTCATTTTCTTAGGGTGCAAAGATATAGATTTGGTATTTAGTGAACATCTACACACCAGATACTGGTTATAACAGAATTCTCTCTCATTGTTGACAACATAGTAGGGATTATTAATGACAATGATTTGTTGGAATATCCTTGATGGATAGAAGCATAGAATGCCAACACAAGACAGAACTAACCCTAAAGTGAAAGTGTACTTGTGCCAGAAGGCTCAGTTTTAGAGGATGAGGATAACCAGGTGAGCAGCAGGGCAAATGGCAAGGAATGTGGTTACAGAGGACTTCACAAAAGCATTTGGATTTATCCTGAAAGTAATGAGGAGCCTTGACAAGACTCACACTGCATTTAAAAGCTTGCACAAGTGTGTACTCACTTAGTAATGCCAAAGTCATTTTTCTTATGATAGGAACAGTTGTTTTTCTTTTAACCTGCATGATGCTTGTTCTCACTGTATGTTACAGTATAATCCCATCATTTTTGTTACGTTAAGTAATAAAGAGTACAGCCTTTGGAGGAGAAATTACCTGTTATTTTTTTTATTAGTATATAATAGTTTACCCTGTTTTTAAAATCTAAAAATGAACTACAAACCATCTCCAGTTGGCTGCATTCTTGGACAATGCTTTCCCCTGACTCAGATTTAAAAAATAAAAATGCAGATCCAGAAATAATTTCCAGAACTAACTGCAGAGTGCCATGTTCAGATCTCTGTTTCAGAAAGCTCACTGCAGGGGACATTAGTGTAGGTAGGGAAGCAGGACAGAAAACCAGTCGGGGTACTACGGCAGAATTTGAAGAAAGAAAAAGACAGTTGACAATGGTGTGCTCACAGACACAAAATGCAATGAGGAGGTAGATTTGATTTTTAAAAATAGCTAATTAAAATTGTCTCCCTGAACTAGTCAAGATTTTATCTTAATTGGTGACAAGTTAGAGGTTTATGAGTTAATTTTCAAAGAACTATTACGAATATCCTATTCTGAACAAAAGCAACAAGAAAACACAGAGGAAAACAGACCAAGTACTTGCTAAATGGAAAAAAAGATTTAGATGACAGAAATTGAGCTTTTTACTTAATTCTATGTATTTAATCTAAGTCAACTTTTTGATTTGTAAATTTGAACCCTTTAATCTAAATCTTCTTCTTCAATCTATTTCACTATCTAGGCTCAGTATTTAGTACAGGTCAGAATTTCAGTGTCTTAGGCCCAAATATTACAGGATTAAGAATGACTATAAAATAATCTTTAAAATGAGGTTAAAGAGTATTTCTAAATCACAGTTGACTAATATAAATCCTGAATATATTAAAGTTTGGGGCATATTTGTATCATTTGAACTAGGCTTTTGAAAAATAACATTAAGGTTAACATATGTGTGTGTATTAGTATATGCTTTAAAACAGTGAAATTAAATTAAATATTAATCCATGATCTCTTCATCCAGATAACTCTAACCTGTAAAATATGGTATAAACAAAAATACAAAAAATTAGAAAACCCAAGCATTTAAGATGTAAAATGAAAGTTTTCTTCTCTACCCTCCATCTACTAGCCTTTCTCTCCACAGATAACCACTGGTTTTTTGATCCCTTCCAGATGAATGTGTACGAACTTCTACTCTTAGATTTGTACTAAAAGCTAATGATAGTATATACACTGCTTTCTACCTTGCTTTTCTCATTTACTGATACATTTTGTAGATCATTCTGTATCTGTGCAGATTAACCCATTCTATATTATATAACATTCTCTGTTCTTTTTCTTACTGCAATAGTGCTGCACATCTTTGCCAATATTTGTAGTATATTCTTAGGGCACATTCCATGCATTTAAAAGATTTTATATATGTGGAAAATTGCCATTCAGAATGTTTTTTCACCAATTTATACATCCATGAACAATGCATGAAAGAATCCATTTGCTGTGGGTTAATACAATTTCCTGCAAGGTCAGTTTGAACCACAGGGTCAGTGGTTCAAGATCACAACTACTCCCCAGAAACCCTATACAGGGTTGTTATGAGTCAGAACCAACTCGACGACACTTAACAACAACAACATATCATAGGCACCACTGGCATCAAGCATTTAAATTTTGCCATTATGAAAGGCAAAAACAAAGCAAACCAAAAAAAGCACTATTGTAAAAAGTCAAGAAAAGGTTCTTGTACTAAAAAAATATATGATGGTTACCAGGTGTGGGAGGGAAGGGAGAATTATTCACAGACTATAGGGTTAACACAACTTAACTGGAGTGATTGGAAGGTAATAAAAAATAAATGGGAGATTAGCAGAAGAAAGAAGAAGATTGGGGAAGACACAGGCAGGAATGCAAAAGTTAAGAGAATAGAGGTAAATACTGTTGACTGATGGTACTGAAAGAGGCGACTGAAATGATGTACATGATTTATTGAATCTGTAAACCTTCACTCAACTCACAATAAACTGCTTAAAAAATTGACAATGGTAACAAGAAAAAAACCACCAAAAAGATAATATGATGTTCACTGTTACAGTAGGACTTTTTCCTTTGACTTAGTATGAAAGGCATTCAGAAAGTTCATGGAAAAATAGAATTGAAAGATAATGCAATTTTTCTATAAACTTTTTGAAGCTCCCTTGCATTATTATATAAATTACATAATATGAAAATACTCTGATTTTCCGACATACATAAATTTGGTATTATTCTTTTAAAACAGTTCTATTTACAGTTTTTTTTCAGGTGTTTATATTAACATTCACAGGTAACACTGGTCTATAATTTTCTTTTTGTGTGCTCTCTTAATTAGTGTTAACAAACTTTTTTTTTCTTAATGCTATGAAAGATTTAAAATAATACAGGAATTACACATTCCTTAAATGTTTAAGAAAACCTATGAATCATCTGGGCTTGGCAACTCATGTTTTTGAAGAATTAAAATTTTGTTGTTTTAACTATATTAAAAGTTTATTACAGCAGAACTTTTTTAGGCAGTACAAAGAGGTACTAAAAGTTAGATATATTCCAGCAGCAGAGAAAAATAATTTACTCTTTGCAGGTAATTCTTATTTAAATAACCTCTAACAACTTCAGACATGGTTACAAAAAGTAACTATATCAAAATATGTATACTGTGTGAAAACATTCTATGATATACTCTAAGCAAATAGAAAAATAATGCAAAAAAGCACTTTAAAACTTTGATTAAATATTAGGTAACAGATTTCAAGTATATTAATCATTACTCATCTATTATCTACTCTCTGTCAAAATGTGTTTAATATGAGAGCTGTTGTTGTTATGTGCCGTGGAGTCAGTTCCATCTCATAACGACCCTTACAGGGTTTCCGAGGCTGTAAATCTTTACGGGAGCAGAAAGCATCATCTGTCTCCCGCGTAACAGCTGGTAGTTTTGAACTGCTGACCATGAGATTAGCAACCTGATTCATAACCACTATATCCTATTATAAAGTGCCATTTGATATCATAATGCTTTGTTTCCTTCCACCTTCTTAATGCCTTAACCAAGTATGGTAAGGCTGTCTAAGCCCTTATACTATGGTCATAGGTCCACTGAATTGATAAAGGTAAAGGGCCATCAATGATCTTCAAATGTGGGCACTTCTAACTTAGCTCTCTGCAGTAATTAGAATCACTGACTACATACTTTTATATTTTCTTAGCTTGTAACACTTGCACTTAAGATTCTCCCAGCTTCTATGTGCTCCTTGTTGTTGTTGTTGTTAAGTGCCATCGAGTCGGTTCCGACCCATAGCGACCCTGTACAGGGTTTCCAAGGGTGTAAATCTTTACGGGAGTAGAAAGCCTCATCTTTCTCCCGCGGAGTGTCTGGTAGTTTCAAACCGCTGACAGTAAGGTTCGCAACCCAATTCGTAACCACTACGCTACCAGAGCTCCTTAGGTGTTAGAATTTCATTCTTGACCCTTTGTTCTAACTCTGGAGTTTCACTGGTAAATTTCATCTACCATGGTTCCCCTTCCCCTCTTTTAAGTAACTCACTCAGATCTAAATTAGAACTTCAAACTCAGCAACTACCTGCTATCCTCAACAGCAAGTCTGCTTTTATAAGTCCCAGGGACCTCAAAGTCATTGTGTCTTTCCCACACTCATACACTAACGCCTGCTTTACAATGAAAACATTGAATCATTCCCACCAGAAACCTCAAAGTCCCTTTCGGTTTCTGCTTTGTCTCCACATTCAGACCTTCTAAACTCTATAGATGTTTCTCCCACATTAATTCCTCCTCAAACGTACATACTTCAAGGGCTTCATCAGTTCTTGCCTAAATTATTGCACTAATCTAAAACCTCTCACTATGACCTCCTGCTAGACTATTTTCCATTTTCCACCAGAGGAAAGACTGAAATGTCATTTTGTTACTTACCTTCTTAAAACAAAACACAACTTTCAGTATCTTCCCACTTCCTACAGAAAAAGGTTCACAATCTTTTATATCATGACACATATGAAAGACAAAACCCTCATAGTGTCAAAACACCTGCAAAATTATTTTAATTGTGGGTCAAGGCATGTGTAGAAACACCTGCTGATCATAGATCATTCCTGTAATGTTAGCTATCATTTCACGCCTTTCTCACCTACTCAAAAAAGAACATATTAAGAACACATGAAAACAATGGAAAGTGAGTGTGAAACTGTCGTAAGTATAATTACTATATCTTGAATATGTTGGTGTTGCTGTTAAGTCCTGTCGAATCAGTTCCGACTCATAGTGACCGTGCATAGGGTCTCCAAGGAGCAGCTGGTAAGTTTGAACCCCCAACCTTGTGGTCCAGAACTTTATCCCCCAGCACCACACTGGGACTCCATATCTTGAATATAGCTCTAGCTATTTAACATAAATAAATTATTTACAAAATCTAAATTATCTGTGACTGCTTTCAATTGATTCTGGAGAAACATAACACCCTAAGGACCACTGTAAGGCTGACTGTATAAAATAAAAACCTCTTGGTAAAATTCACAGAGCCCTCCACAATATAGTCAATCATTGTGTTTGTAAATGAGACAGCCCTGAGTCTCCAGTTAGCTTCATCTTTCCCTATCAAATCCTATATATAGTTCAGCCACAATGAAATACTGAGTTCTCAAACCTGTAGTTTTACTTCTTCTCCCCTCTTTACATTCTCTTCCCTCTGCCTTAAGTTCTCCTCAGTCACCAAATATTCATTTAAATGTTATGTGCTGAGTATTTTACCAAGGAAGAATAAAATTCACAAACCATGTCAAACATATTTACTGAATATAAATTTCTATTTTATAGTTTGGGGAAATGTGTAAGAATCAGATATGTGATTCACTCTCCTCAGATGAAACACTCGAACTGCTGCCAGGACAGATGCTTCTCAGAGGAACAATACTGTCATTATCCCATGCTCCTTTCTCTCTCTCCAACTCAACTCTCCCTTAGCTTTCCTCCATCGTCAATATTAAGGGACAAACTGTGATGTTTCCTCTTCGTAATGCAAAATGTATCTTGCTTCCATGGGTGGCTCACTGAATTACTTTGGACTCAAACTCATATATATGTGGTTTTAGCTACTTCACAGCATGTAAACTGTAAAATGCTATATAGACATGATAGTTACTAATGCTGTTAGGCATTCGAGAGGTGTCTTATTGGTCCATGAAAGTTAAGCTACTTAATCTATTACAGTGAGACCTGAAATACCCACCAATTTGAAAGTCTAATGGATTAAAATAGAGGAGAGTCAAAATGGATTAAAATCTAAGAGTACACTTTTCTTAAAAGACATTTGATTACATTATTATAACTACATGCAGAATCTCTCAGCAAAGGACAGAATCCCTGAGACTGCTCCAAAATACCCAGAGGGCATTTGGAAACATATAGGGGACGTTTTGGTTGTCACATGACTGGCATACTACAATGATACAACATATTCAATGCCTCGGAGCCAGGAATGAGAAATATACTGTAGAATGCCTCTGTGCAGACAGAACTTCACATTAGCCATAAAATAACTATTTCCAGGTAGTCATACTCTGCCTGCCTAGATCAAAAAGTATAGTTAGAAGAATATAGAATAGAGTTAATATAGAAAAATAAATGAAGCTATAGACTACTACACGGAATAAGCATTCTCACAATCTCAATACTTTTAATAGCAAATCATCCGTAACATAAATAGTATATAGTTGAGCACATATTGCCCACATTTATATAATTATGAATTAGAGGAGCTCTGGTAGCCAATGGTTATGAGTTGGGCTGCTAACCTCAAGGACAGTACTTAACTTAAAAGCACTTAACACCACCACCAATGATGACAATGGCCTTACTTACACTGTTTCTCCAAGCTTGTTAATATGGAGCTCTGTAGTGTATTAGTCAGGCTGCTAACCTCAAGGTCAAGTATTGATATGGATACTGGCAGATGGGCGAGTCTTTGGTCAGAGAGACCTATGATTGCAACACATGGCAACCCCAGGTGTGCAGAGCAGAACTGATCCACAGGGTTTTCAAGGCTGTGTGATCTTTTAGAAGCAGATCACCAGACATGAACTTTTGGGTAGGTTTGAACCTTTCAGCTAGTAGTCAGGTGTTTATTCATTTGCATCACCCAGGGACTCCTTATTGTTAATTAATGATATCACATATTAAGCAGTACATGCAGAATTATTACAGTTAATTCAAAGCAAGAGAGGTGAAATTACATGAAATAATTTTGTCTGGGTTTTTTTAAATCAAAATATACTGTATATAAGTGCCATTGAGTCAGTTCTGACTCATAGTGAGCCTGTATAGGATTTCCAAGGAACAGCTGGCTGGTGAGCTTGCACCGCTGACCTTGCAGTTCAAACCAACCTAGTAGGCCAGCGCATTAACCCACAGCACCACACCAGGACTCCATATCAATACTTTAATATCTAGCAAAATAACTATAAAAATCTTAATAGTTAAAAACCTATAGACTTATGTCCAATATAGTTATTAACCATTTTCTGCTTACCTCATAAGGTAGTTTAGCAAAGTAGCCATTATTTGGCCCTTCCCGGAGGACAGTACTGCTAAACTTTTTGTTAAGAGTATCCAGTCCACAAACATCCTTTTCTTCATCATCATCATCTTCTAGATCATCCATGTCAATAAGTGAAGTCTTGAGAGAAAGCACTGGCTTATCCTTCATACCATGTAGCACAACTGCATCTAACTCAGTGTAATAATCCAGAAGAGAACTATTGACTTCCAGCCGTATAAGATTTGTGGGGAAATTTATCTGCTTAATACAAGGTTTAAACTGGCGAGCCTGGGAAGCATTCACCTTCGTAGGTCTCTCTGACCAAAGAATTGCCCATCTGCCAAAGAAAAAAACTTCCCTGTAATATACTTTAGAAAGAAATCTACTATAATCACAGTTATGACCCCATACCAATAAAAGTACAATGTGAATCAAAGTAACTAGAATCAAAACACAAGTATTGTAAAATCCTAAAGATTTAAGAAACTAATTGGCATAGGCCTTATTGCTCAAACTATTATTACTACTGTGACATTTTTATTGTGAAGGCTTACAGAGAAGATCAGTTTCCATTCACAGTTTGTTTCAAATCATTGATTGCAGTAGCCAGAATGGAAACTCAATTACTTTCCACTTCCTGTGTTTTTTGTTTCTATTCCTCCTCCTATCCTAGCCCCTCTGAGCTTTGTCCTTGGGTAAACGCTGCCCTTCTGATTTGACAACTCCCTAGAAATTTCTTTTGTGCATATTTCATATTGGTCCATTTTAAAACTGTAATTGGTAGGTAGAGATAGAATGAATGAAGAACAACATTCAGTTTTAGAGTAAGAATAAAGCATACAAGATAGAGCTCTCCCACTATGGAAACTAAACTAACCATCTTGTCTCACAAAAGGTCCCCATTTTCATTTCCGTTACTGGCCTCATACTCAAAACCTTCACATTATCTTTGATTTTTTTTTTTTCTATCACCAAGTTTTGTCAAATTTTTAATCAAATCTTCTCTTATTTACATGCTTTTGAATTTCACTATCATGTTTTAAGGAGCCCTGTTGGCTCAGTTGGTTGAGTGTTGTGATTTTAAATGAAAGCTGATAGTTCAAATCCACCAGCTAGTATGCGCAAGAAAGATGAAGCAGTTTGCTTCCATAAAGATTTACAGCCTAGAAAATCCTATGGAGCAGTTCTACTCTGTCCTATAGGATCACTGAGCGTTACAATTGACTTGACAGGTTTGGTTGGATCTTGTTTCTTGTCTCTCCATTCCCAGCCAAGTATCTAATACATAATTTTGTTGCTGCTGCACCATGGAGCTGGTTCCAACTTAGTGACCCTGTATAGCAAGGGTGGGGAACCTTTTTTCTGCCAAAATTTATAACTGTACAAAATTATCAACTTAGAAGTTAGCTTGCTATATTTGGTCAAACATTTGATTAACTCACCTCTAATGTGTTGCATTCAT